GAGCATTGTAGTTTTTTCCGCTCTACAACATGTCATTCTCAAATTTTACATTCGACGTTTCGTTTGCGAGAAACCATCATCAACTTTTATTTTTTAAATATGAACCTGGATTTTTTTCATATTTTTTTAAAGCGCTGTTCAACGATATGCAAATTTAGTATAAATAATCAACGTTTCTGCTCTAAAAACTCATCATCAGTAATTTTTATTAAAAGTGTCCATTATTATTTCCGCCCTAGTATCCGTTAGTTGTAAAAGAAACGATTACTTAAGAATTTCTTTTCCATTTTTAAGGAAAAGAACTGAACTCACTCAAGCATAAACCAAACAAAAAGTCGCGGCTAACATATCAAATTATAAAAACAAGTAAAGAATTTAAAATAATTAAACTCTACAATTCTTGCTCGAAATGTCCGCCATTATTTTCAATGCATTTTTGGCATCTTAGAGTCAACTGCCCTACTGCACTTGATTGTATTAGATCTCTAAACGCCATAGTAATTCTATGTCTCTACTCTATATATTTTTACGTAGTAAACTTTATTTTTGAGAAATCCCTATGAAAATATTCTGTAGGGTTAAGACAGGGTGAACGTGGAGGCCACCTTACAGGACCGTCCACCTATTCAGAGAATTTGTGTGCAAGAAGTCCCGAACAATTGCACAATTATGAGCTCCACAACCATTTTGTATCAATCACTCAATAGCTGCTAAAGACATTTCTTTTGAAGCGTCTGTTAACAAATTAACGTTGGTCAAACCTTGTAAATTTCCTTCAATAAATTTGGGACCTATGATATGATTTCCAATTATTCTACAACACAAATTAATGCTATATCCAATTTGAGGTCCGGTTTCCTGAACTAAGTGAGGATCGGCTACAGCGAAAAATTTTTGTTTTTTTTTATTAAATATGCCAGCATTTGTACATGTGCTGTCCACATAATCGTATTGCATAAATCAGGGTTTTCTTTGATTGCTGGTGCCAGTTGCAAAATATCAGCCTGCGCTCTGAATCTCCTAAATGAAGTTTTTGAAAACGTTGAAATTTGTATTGATGTACAAAGATTTAGGTTTCCAGAAAACTAATTTAAAAAAAAAAAAATGTTTGAAAATTGTATTGATAAAATATGGTCAGCTCCTGCTTGCCGAATAAATTCAATAAAATCAACTTGCACCTTTATAAAATCAAAAGTTGGGTTAAATGGTTAGGAGATATAATAGAAATCCTCAAATATATAAGTATAGGACCCAAGTTAAAAATCGATTAATTTTTGGACGATGTATTTACCTACTTACTGAATAATTTTAAATTTGGGAAATGTTCTCCAACCTTGACTTCAGTTCAGATTATTGATTATGAATAATAACATTTATATTTCCAAAACATGGCAATATTGGAAGTTAGGTAAAGATAAATCTATAATAAATTCGATAAATCGAAAATTCAGAAAATCAATTATTGTACCATCACCTCGGTGTCAAGAATGCGAAAATAAAATTTCAAATATTTAAATGAAATGTTAGCAAAAAATTTATCAATTATGTTAATTGATCATAAAATAGATAATAAAGAAAAAAAATCAATTAAAAGGTATTATTGAAACTTTATACAAATCTCCATTCCAGCAAAAGGTGAATTACGATAGCCAGCCAGCCATCCATTTTTTGACGAGGGAAGTTGCACATGGAAGTTGCAGTTTCTAGCCTAGAATCAAGGTAGATAGAGGCTAGAAGTTCTCAGTTGTCGCCAAATGTGGAGGTACAGGAGTCAATACGTAAGGTACTTGATTACTCTAGGAATCCCTTCAAAAGCTCTATGCCACGCTCCACGAAAATGGTATTCTTTTGAAAATGTGGGCTTTTGGAAATGAATTCGTTGAGAGAGACGGCTCTTCAGAAAAACGGCTACTCGGAAAAATGACTCCTCGGAAAACCCTAAGGTTCCAAATTCAAACTCAAATAAAACGGTAATCACAAGACTTTCGATTTGAATTTCACTATTGATTTTGATTATTGCCTTACGCAACTTTATTTCGTTGAAACAGTGCCTGATGGCCGATAAGGTATTTTTCTTCACGAGAACGGTAATCACAGTTGAGGAAGATGGCTGCCCCCCAGGCCAGAATCGACCTATCAGAGCGAACGGCAAAATTCAAAAAGGACGGAGAAAAGACAAGCTGAACAAGCAGAGCTTCCCTTCAAAAAAACAGCCAACGGAAAGTGTTGGTATTAAACTGGTACTTCAAACTTAAACGAGAATAGTGCCCTCCAGTTTAATAATTGCTAATATTATTAGCAGCAGAAACCTTTTTTTTTAATGCTAGTCACCAGACTGTCAACATTAAAGGTTGTAATAATTACCTAAACTTGAAATTATATTTGAAAGAAAAAGGAACAGTAGCATTTGCAATGCTACAACTTACGGATTCCAGGATCGAAATAATGGACATTTTTGATAATAGATGAGTTTATAGAGCACAAACTTTGATTATTTATATTAAAGCTGCATATCGTTGAACAGCTACTGTAGCGCTCGAAAAAAATATGGAAAAATTCCAGGTCCCTATTGGAAAAATAAAGTTGATGATGGTTTCTCGTAGGTCCCTCTGAATTAGTTGGCACCCTTTTGGTGTAGGACAGACCTCTGTGTAGCACAGCGTTATCAACACTTACCGCTCATAATTTCTAAACATGTTTAGCTAAATCGAGAAAAGTACATGCCTCAATATTTTATTTATCATTTGGTACGGAAAAAAACAAATAATCAAGATGTTCTAGCATATTGATGCAATCTTGAAACCATTTGATATCATTTTGGCGACTCCATAACATCATCAACGCTATCATCAATGTCCTAATGAAATGAAATTATACCCTCAGTGGGTAAAATAATCTCATTCTACGGAACCTGACCAAAAAGGTTAATAATGATAAGTTTCTTGGCATTGTATTTCCCAAGAATAGTGCTGAGTATTATCATAGAATAGTATTATGCAACTCATTTATGTACAACTATGTCTAAACAGAAGGGTAATCGAATTAATTGCCTCTTGAATATTCCAAAGAGAATTTAATCTTATACCGAAAAGGTACCAATTTTTAAGATAAAAGGCAGAAGTGCTTGAGATTCCAGCAGCGCTCAAAACCCCCAAAAATTCTTCCAGCATGGAACCACACAAACTTCTTTAACATGACGCATACAAGTAACCAATTCTATATGATGAACAGGCAAAGGCAGTTAGAAATTTCGGGCCCTATTTTGTGAAAAAGACTGCCACTTACCTAATGTTCCAAGGAAATGGAGGTTTTCCTGCAGATTTTTTTTCCTAGCGGTTCTATATGTTTTTTTTGAGTTTGCTGCCTTGAAGGAGTTGGATTCACAACGAAAACCCAAAAAAATTGAAAATGGTTACACTTTTTTTAGTTGTTTGGTTATATCTCAAAGCATAGGCGTTTTCGGAATATGACCCGCATAGAATTGAAGGAGTAAAAACAGCGGGCTGAAAAACTGATTTTTGGCCCTTTTGCGAAAACGTCAAAAACGCCCCCACTCACACAATTTCTAACATTCTCATAAGGGGGAACGGAACCAAGTGTAAATACGGAAAATTCTTCTGCGCTCCACAGCCCAAACGTTCCCGTTCACTTGACCCAGCGCTACAGCCGAACTAATGAATTGTTTGCACGGCATATTTAATAAGAATATTATATTATCAAATATTCAAATATTAGTTATATGACATTGAATATAAAGCTGAAGATGAAATCTGTGTGTAGTGATATAGATGCGTCATGAAATGAAAGTCTAGTTCACCCCTGGGTCACTTCTTCTCCATCTGAAAAAAGAATTCCATCTCAGCTGCATCAGACAGTGGTTCTGCACGGGGCTCGTCCAGGTCACCTTCCCCTCTTATATCCGAATTGTTGTTGACTTGGGTGCAGCCTCAGTGGAAGATATGGAAACCGTTTGTTCGCTGATGTTCATGTTTTGCCTATACCTCAACTTGTTGAGTATTGAGGTTGGGTGGTAACCGATCGGAATTTTTTCACCAGCAGCTCCTAGTTTATTGGGTGTGCTGTAGGATTATTGAATTAGGTGATGTATGATTCGAAATCTGTTTTTTGGGTAGGAATTTAACCTTGCCTTGATTGAAGAACGGTAACGCAGGGTCGCGTGGAGGAAGCTGAGGAAATTAACCTCTTCCTGGGGCCGGATTCTCGTCTCAGAGAGTAGAATCCCCCGAGACAACAAATTCTCCGTCTTTATCGTTCTCGTTCACTTTTCGATTACGTTGACAATGACAAAACATTTGTTCTATCGGCGAGCTCTATTCCCTGAGACGAGAATCTGGCCGCTGGGTGTGAGTAGGTGTTCCTGTAGAAGTGCCAAGAAACCGCTATTTTTTAGCGCGCTCTAGCACGGATATAGCTGCTCAGAAAATTGAAGCTGAGTATTGCATTCTGTAGGAAATATTGTCTACTTCAATTTTTGTATCGTCTCCAAAATTGCACAATTTTGAGTTTTTTATTTAGTTTTCGTTGTGAAGCCGACCTCTTACAAGAGAGCAAACTTGAAGTTCAGATTGAGCATCCAAAGAACAAGAGTGTTGAGAAAAAACGCAAGTGAACATATCGCAAAGAAAAACTTTCATACATACGACCAATAAAAAGAAGTTATTCTCTTGATATTTTTTGACTTGATAAGCTACATTAGACTACTACTACTTTCCTGAAATATCGGTTTAATATAGTACCAAAATTAAATATATTTTTTTTTAGGCAGAAAATGTTTGTTTTTTCAACTTTCGCACTATTTATAGATGGTACGGTACCCACTTGATGATGACTATTAGAATCTATTCACAAGTGTTCAAAATATAGCAAAGGGGTGACTTTTGGCAAGCACTTTATTTTATGAATATTTCTTTAAGGTTGGTTCATGGTATGCTATGACTGGCTATGGTCTTGCATTTCCGAGAAACTCCAAGTATTTGAAGATGTTCAACAAAAGACTTCTCGACTTTCGGGAAAATGGAGATCTTGAACGTTTACGGCGTTATTGGATGACTGGTGTATGCAAACCAGGCAAACAGGTAATACAATTACTTCAGAAAATAATAATTTATTATTATTGGTAGGTATACAATGTTTAGGTATAGTTTCTCATAAGATATAAAGACTTTGTTTCCCTTACTGAACCTGCTAATAGTTATCTAAATTTCAGGAACACAAAAGCTCAGATCCATTGGCTCTAGAGCAGTTTCTGTCTGCTTTTCTTTTGCTGATGGCAGGAATTCTATTGGCAACATTGCTTCTTCTTTTGGAGCATCTATACTTCAAATATATTAGACATCATTTGGCTAAAACCGATCGTGGTGGATGCTGCGCCTTAATAAGTCTCTCTATGGGAAAAAGCCTAACCTTTAGAGGTAAGTAGATCAAGTGTCTAGATTTGATAAGCAGCGAAACTCCAAGCCCTCCAAATTTTTGAACAAATAATTATAACTATTTCCAAAACTCATTCAAATCTGACTTTAATTCATATTGAATCAATTTGTATTTCTCAATGATTAATTAACCTTGCAGGAGCGGTCTATGAAGCCCAAGATATCCTAAGAAATCATAGGTGTCGTGATCCTATTTGCGATACTCATCTATGGAAAGTAAAACGAGAACTGGACGTCGCCCAAATGCGAATTAAGCAACTGGAAAAGGAAATGGAAGTGTATGGGATAAAACCACCACCCTGTAAACGGTAAAATCTTGTGTTTCATAAAATGTTCGGGGGAATCAAAAAAAAGCAATTGTAAATTATTTACAGTGTGCTTAGAATAAAATGATGGTATGTGGTGTGTGCAACGTAGTGCAGAAGCAAAGATGCTAGTTATGCATGTTCTGTTTCAATTTTATTTTTGCAGTTAACGCGGCGGTAGCTTACGCACTTCTCGTGAAACAAGTGTCCTTCTAGAGTCAGTAACTATAGTAGAGTCGGAATAGTTTGGCATAATAGGCATTAAAATTTTCAAACCAATCACAGTCAAGAAAACCGCCCTAGAAATGTGAAAAGACTTACGTTTTTGTTGTCACATGCTATAAACATAGAGTAAAAAGAGACAACTACTTTTCCTTATCGCTTAGTACTGACCCCTTGAATATAGGGTTGTACGTTTGGAATGGTGGTGTGTACGTACCCAGGGGTAACAATGGGACCCTACCTGGGATGCCCATACGAATTAGACAAGCGATAAGAAACAGTAGTTGTCTATTTTTACTTTACTTTCTTTATAGCATGTGACAAGAAATACGTACGTCTTTCACATTTCTAGGGCGGTTTTCCTAATTGTGATTGCATATTTTATTGCCTATTATGCCAAATTATTCCGACTTTACTATAGCAATTGTTGTTTCCGCGATAAATATTTCATTTGAAATTGAAGACTGAGAATATGGCTCTCTTTTGATTTACTCAGTTGAAAATTAAAATCTTGATAAACAAAGTTCAATTCACAAACTAGGCCTAAAGCCAAAAATAACATTCTTTCAATAAATTCTTGAAACAAATTTGAACTTTCATTATAATAAAGATTTTTTTAACTACTCTGACAGCTTTTTTTGTTTGTCCTCCATGTATTTCGACAGAAAACGCTGGTTAGACAAAATATACCTATTTTAGGATAAACAGTAAAATTTTTATAATACCTCGCTTTTTATTTTACCAAGGTGTATTAACAAAAAATATCTTTAGCATTGTAGTGTCAGGGGAGCAAGCAAAAGCACGGCTACGTAGTTTAGAACCCACTGAAGTCGAGAGTTGTTCAGATTTTAATGGGTAAGTCAATATTTTTACGTACTTCAATATATTTTTTTTTTGTTGAAAAAGGGTCATCACTCATCAGTATACCAAACCTTGTAGCATGTAAAATGTTACTGTTATTAACTGTTCCTTTTTCTTTCAAATATTGTTTTATAAGTTTATTACCTTATTATTATTATTACCTTTAATGTTGACAGTATTGTGAGTGGCATTAAAAAGAAGACTTCTGTCGCTAATAATAATAGCAATTTATTGAACTAGAGGGCACGATTTTCGTTTAAATTTGAAGTACCAGTTTAGTACCAACACTTTCCCTTGGCCATTTTTAAAGGGAAGCTGTGTCTGTTCAGCTTGTTTTTTCTTCGTCTCCTTTCTAATCTTGCCGTTGCCCTGAAAGGTCAAATGTCGCCGGGAGGAGGCAGCCATCTTCCTAAGTGAAATATAAATATCGATTATCTTCTCGTGGAAAAAGTACCTTATCGGTCATCAGGCATTATTTTAACGAAATAAAGTTGCGTAAGGCTATAATTAATTGATTGCCGAAAAAAATTAAATAAAAAGTCTCGTGATTACCGTTTTATTTGAGTTCGAACTTCGAACCCCCTCGTGGTAAGTCCTTTTTATTTTTTTTAAGTAATGGTTATTCATGGAATGCCTCTATTACTTAGGGTTCACCGGGGAGCCGTTTTTTCCGAGAAGCTGTTTTTCCGAGGAGCTGTTTTTCCGTGGAGCCATTTTTCTCAAGGGATCCATTTTCAACAAGCCCACATCTCTGGGCATAGAGCTCTTGAAGTGATTTCCTAGATGAATCAAGTCCCTCACGTGTCGTCACGTACCCCCACATTTGACCGAGAAACCTGAACTTTTAGCCTTGATTACAGGCTAGAGTCTGCGACTTCCACTTGCAGCTTCCCTCGTCAAATGGTCGAGAATGGATGGCTACCGTGCTCTACCTTTTTGTTGGAATGGAGGCTTGTATAGAGTTTCATTTATAACTTTCAATAGGTACTTTTTTTATGAAATCTGCTTCATGATCAATTACCATAATTGATTATTTTTACCTACGTTACATTTAGGTATTCAAAATTTCAATTTCACTTTCTTGACACCAAAGTAAACTTTAACTAATTATTTCTGAATTCTAATTCATAATGGTTTTATCTTTGCTCAGCTTTTGGTACCGCCATGATTAGAAAATGTATATTTTATTAATCATAATGATTAATCTGAACTGAGGTCAAGGTTGGACAATATGTTCTAAATTTGAAATTATTGAGTAAGTACCTACATCGTCAAAAATTGATCAATTTTTCCCTTGGGTTCTATACTTATATACTTGAGGATTTCGGTTATATCTCCTTTATACCTTCAACGTTTAACCTTTGGTTTCATACAGTTTTAATTTGATTTCGATGATTTTGTTTTTCTGGCAGCAGCTGATCATATTTATCCATATTATATTATAATTTTCAATCATTAATTTTTTTATTAATTTTCTGGGAACTTAAATTCGACATATTTTTATTTCAAATTAATGATATGGCCAGCGACTGTTAATGAACTTACATGGCAAGCATATTGAGGAGTATTGTAATATTATCTTTTTTTTTTTAAATTTGATGAAACTGATTGAGAGTTAACCTCTATTTATTTATTTTACTTAAAGTGTTCTACCAGTAATTGACTTTGAAATTATTCAATACTTGATTTTTGAACTCACTGTGAAATATACACACTAATTTGATTTGAAACTTACTTAATTGTTTTATTGGTTTACCTGTGTCAAGATTTGGCTGAGTTATATGCCCTATTCATTTCCTTTTCAGAGTTATCAATTGCCGTTTGCTGATTATTTCTTTTTGAGTGTGTTTCTGAATTTTCACACTCCAATATTTTATGTAATTTAATTATAATTTTGTTACTTCAGTGGTGCCCTTGCCATTCTGTACTTATTAAACTATTGACCCACCCCTAATAATTATTCGCTGAGCAAACTAAGCATATTATGGCCCTCTTGTTAATTCATTAACAAAAGGGGTTACAGCCTTCACGAATTATTCACAAGCAATAAATATTATACAGTCGAGCAGAATAAAAATATTTTCCAAATATTCTATGTGGAAAATTTGGCCAAAGCAATGTTTTAAGGAACCTATTATAAAGTGTATTATAGTAACAGCTTCAAAGTTGCAACATATACATACGAGCTTGCGTCTATGTGTTTATCATGAATAGGAAATTTCAACAATTTTACAAAAGCAGGAGAAAGTTCGTCCCTGGTGATGAGTTATTCTTTTTACAAACGTTCCAGAGAGAGAGCTGATTAGAATTGATGAACAATATGCATGATGTTAACAGCTTTGCTTCAAAATCAAACTATTGTTTTTCACCATCACACCCCCAACTTGTTTCTTCTAGAAGTTTTGTAAATCGTTCGTAGTTACTTTTCCCACATAAAATTGTTTTGTCCAAACACTAATTTATGGACGGCTGGGTCTGTATTTTGACTGGGACATCTACTGGTACAGCCTATATTTTTCAGTGGTAGAAAGCACTTTTATTATTATTTCTTTTTTTAAACATTTCATAAATATGTAGTGAAAAACTTCATTGACATGTTATTTATTTATCGAGATTTAGCTGGGTTCTGATTTAATACCTCAACTTTCAAGCAACTCCTTCGTAAATAGATATTCTGTGATTCATTTGATCAGGAAATTGATGAAAATCTTCCAGAATTTAGAGCATCTGATTTCCAGCCTATTTTTCCTCGCACCGGTTGTATTTGAAATAGACGCAGAGAAACTGGAAATTCTACATATCTGAAGACTCGAGGCTCATATTTGTATATTCCGTTGTCTGAGTACTAAGTGTATCTATTTATTAACTCCGGCATTTCAGCAGTTTTGAAGCCATTCGTATGAAAACGGGGTGAACTTTTATAATTGTCCTTCGATAACAGTACTAATTTTGTGGCAGCCAATACCTACAGTATTTTTCACGGTCGCATTAGAAAAATTAGGCTCTAATTTGTCATCTGAGGGTATTGAAACTCTATGTTACCATGAACACCGAATTTCAGAATAGGATAAGAAGCCGGGTCAAAAGTGTAAAACATCATTTAAAAGGTTGATGCTGGACCCCTCTATAAAGATTTGAGCATTGTTTTAAGAAACAAGCCGTTATAAATTCCCGTTCATTATCTCCATTACCTTCGTACCCTCAGGACGACACAACTTTCTCAAGCACATTTTTCAATGGTCCCCAACCCCCAACCTCAAATATTATCCCGAAAATAATATTAGGTACTAATATAGTACATCAAAATATCAACGCTATAAGCAGATGGAACAAATCTGTTGCGTAAGATGGAACAAGGAGTGGAGACAAGGAGTACCTACAGTTCCGAGCTGTAAACGCGAATTAAATGGAATGAAACCTACGCTGAATGTTTGAAGATAAAGGCCCTAGTAATGATAGGAGCAGTTATTAGTATGCCGGTGTGCAAATGTAATCTTGGTCGCCTTTCAGAGCTTCCTCTTGGACCATAGGGAATAACTAGACTGATAACTGTTCAGTGTAGTGTTCGTGCAATATGTAAACGTGCGGCTTCAAAGATTTGTGGTCTACTCATCAGTAAGAATTTGCTGAAATAAACTTTTCTTTAGACCGATTGCTGTCAAGAATTTTTAAATTGTTCTCATTGTTTTTTTTCTTTCTTGCAGTTAGTAACAAGACATAACAACGAATTCAATTATTCATTCTGAATAATGTTTAATTTCTAAAATACCGCTTTCTGAGAGAATCATTATTTTTTCAATGACATCTCCTATTTTTAATAAAATATTGAGATATGTATATTATTTTGTAATGAAAAAAAAACGAATCTATAATACTTACGTTTTCTCACAATCGTTCGTCTCTTCGAGAGCGTTATAAATTTAGGTAAAATACCGAAAAATATTGTTTTTCCAAGCTTGCTTTTACTCCGTCGTTAATTATTAAATCGGAGTCTTGCTTCAGCCTTTATTATTTATTATCATTTTATCAGCCAATTGCGGTCATTAAAATATATGAATCTTGTTCAATCAATTATCCGACTGCAAATGATGATGGTAAATTAAACCTTTGATATCAAAAATATACAGACCAATGGGTTCTCCCCAACTACTCAGTAGATATATGCCCACCTCAAAATAATCGCTAAGTACAGAATGGCAAGAGCGCCACTGAATTTAAAAAATAAATAATTACATTACATGAAATATTGAAGTGTGAAAATTCGGACACATACCTAAAAAAAAAAATCAGTAAACGGTAATTGATAATTCTGAAAAGAAAATAAATAAGGCATATAACTCAACCAAATCTTGACATAGGTAAAACCAATAAAACACTCAAGCAATTTTCAAATCAAAATAGTATATATTTTCACAGTGAGGTTAAAAATCAAGAATTAAATATTTTTGAAAGATAAAATCAATTGTTTGTAAAACACTTTAAATATTGATTCGGCAACGTCGCGTCGGTCTAATCAAAACCATGAGTAAAGTGCTCTGCGGAAAATGCAATAAAATCGTTCCAAAAACCCATAAAAATAGGGTAGGATGTGCGGGAAAGTGTACCTTATGGTTCCACGGAGAATGCACGGGTTTAGAAGCAGAGGAAATCCTCAAAATAAGTGAAAAATTGGCAAATTTCATATGCGAGCCATGTAGCAAAATGGCGACAGCAAGCAAACAACACAGCAAAAGAAACGACCGGGAATCCGAAAACCCAAAGGAAGATCTCCGGACGGAACTTGAAACATTAAAATTCGAAAACAAAGTACAAATGGACAAGAACAAAGAACTACAAAGCGAACTAAACGACCTGAAAAAGCAAAACAAAGAGCTAAAGGTGAAACTGACCGAAACTATGGCAGTCCAAAAAGAAAGCTTTCACTCTCCACAAGACCAGAGTAAGCTTTTAGAAGTTTTCATGGAAAAAACAAAAGAAATAATGGAAAAACTTAT